ACGCAGTGACATGTTTCCGGGGCCCAAATCCGTCCAAGATTCTCATCGTTGAATAAAGCCGAGAAGCGAAGTATATATCCGTCCAAGGGTCCTAATATGGCTCGAAACAACTAACTCGTACCGTGCGTTCATATGATCGTATTAGTGTATCATTGTATATTTCATGATACACTTGCTCTGTAGTTGTGGTACAATATATGCGTTTTGTAGATTGTAATAGACATGCTCATGATTGCTATTAATAGTATAGCTTGCGAGCGGTCCAAACGTATGTAAGTAAATAAATTCATGACGAGTGTGCGGACCAGCCGATGACGTATAGTTCTTCTCGATGCAGCAGAGAACACGCGAGCACACTTGCATGGCAGGGCCCAGTCGGCAGGGGGTAATGCACGCCCGCGGTTGTGTTCTGTGCGGTTGAATAATGGGAAGTTTGTAGCCGTTGGCACTGCCAAGGCATAACGCACTCGGGCTCGCGTGCCCCCGCGCTATATAGCTACGCCCTGTCATGGTGGGACACTATCTAACGTCGACTAGAGATGATATGGAGAATCATAATATAGATGTCATATCTATGACACACGTGATGATATGAGGGTATCCAATATAGATTCATATTATGACACTTCCTGATGATATTGAGGAGTTATCATAATATAGATGTCATATTATGACACTCCTGATGATATGCAGATCATAATTAGATGTCATATTTATGACACTCCTGATTGAATATGCTATCAGAATCAAATGACGTCTCTAGTTCAACGGTCGCTGTCAGTCGGCTCATATTCACTGGATCCACGTCGCATGGTGTAATCTACCACGCGCGCTGATTTCACGAGGAAATCTGGGGGCCGTTGTCAGAAAGCATCGTACAAGATGTATTTCTGTAATTTTCGTTTGACAAACGACCAGGCTTAAGAAAAGCGATGTATGTAGTACTAAGTGCGCCTTTGTAGGCCGCAAATGAAGCGTTTGTGGCCCCACGCACAGCATCTGCTTGCCAGATCGATCTATTGCCGGGATGATAGCATCGCGAGTGCAACAAACTGCTAGTTTCTGTGAGTCGCTGAGGCTTTACCAACTCGCTGCAGAACAGACTTACTTAGATACGGTATATGCAGGAGGGGTTAATAATAACAGCCTTGTCTAATTCTCATCTACACATTCTGGTATATTTATCAAGATAGGTATTTATTGACAAGCGAAAACCTGAGTGTCCATTGTCACTGCTGATTAAAGCTTGGGGGGGATAGACCTATCCCGATATCAGCTTGGCCAGTGCGCATGCCCCCGCCCATTACATTACACACATCATATGCACTCATGCTAGCTGTATAGTAGGTTTTGCATGCGCATAGCAAGCCAATATAATGATGTTCGATTCAGCTTATGCACTGTGGTTCTGAGTTTATGGGTGAGTTTTTGTGCTTTTGTTGTGATTGATACGATATCAAGAGAGTTGATCTCATCTTTGTCAATTTAACTTAATTGATCTAAAAGCTTGAAATTGAGATTAGTGAATGCATGGTGTTACCTCTGATAGTATCAGGGCCGGGTTAATAATGACAAATATTGTCACCACCATCCACTGGCATTCGGAAATGAATGTTAAAATATAACTCCTTGGCGCCATCAATTGTAAAAAATAATTATAAAGTGCGAATATATGGAATAACCCTGATCAGATGGATATATACCGTTACCCTGATTAACATCGGGTTTCATCACGATGTGACGGGCCTCTCTCTCGCGAGATCTCTCGCGTTCAGTAGTCACGTGAACTGAATCATCCCACCATCTTGTCTGTGTTTTTGTGGTCGATGTTTTAACGGTGATAACTCGAAAGGCGCATAATTAGAAGTAAAACGAACTTGACGTAAGTTAATGCAGTATTAATTTATTTATCGCGCGGACAACGGACTTGTTCGTTGTTCAAGGCCTAATAAAAGACAGTCTATGTGAATATACTCTACGGGCTGCATTAACATAGCTATATTTATATATAGGCAGTGTATACAACCACACGCGTGTGTCTATAGCGACTCCAGTGTGGAGCGGATACAACCACACCAATTTAATATTATTAGCAACGACGTGTCAAATGTATATTTAAATTTTCATTAGTTTCTTTTTACTCAAAATGTGGAAAATATTCACCAGTAGGCTTAAATGTCTTACAATCTTGTTCAGGTGCTGTAGATCTAAGACTTATGTCCAAATTACGAGTGCAGTGCAGTGTCTCTGTCCGGATTCCGTAGCCGGTGTATATGCATGGTACGTGCATGTATGTCCTGTACTTGTACGTGTATGTGTGTACTCCGCCTCCACCCAGCTACTTGTGTATGCGCGCAATATGAATATTACGAGAGCGTGTGGCTGAATGGTAAAGACACACCCTTGTGGCTGTATATATACACTGCCTTATATATATCAGAAGTAGATAAATAGGGAACTATAATTATTAAATTCCCTGTTATCTTACTTCTGATATATATATAACGTGATATATATAGTAGATATCAGAAGTTTTTTCTATAGAAAAACAGAATTTCTATATCGCCGACCAGAAATTCCCTATTAAATCTACTTCTGAATATAATGATATATAAAAAATAGTATATTAATTATTATTTTATACCCTTATGCATGTAACTTTACAAAAATACAAGTGAAAAGTGTATACTGAGAATGACAATATTTTATGGAGAAAATCGGATAAATCAAATAGTGGTTAAGCCAGTTAAAATCACTAATTTCTGAGTGATACAGTACAAAAATTTACTATACAACATGAAGGAGACTAATATACAAAAAAAACGTCAGCATATTCTTGTACAAGTAAAGTGACTTAAGGTCATTCGACACCGCGATACGTAGCACCATTAATCGACAAATTATAATTATATACACGATTGAACACATAGCACACACGATATTTATATAAATATAAACACATATTCATTTAGAATACAATAAAATAGATTCATTAATTGTTCTCCTATCTGCTATATATATTTTATGTTGTTAAAATTGTATTTTTTAACAGTTTTTTTAATGTGCTAAGTGAAGGGCTCCTTTTTGTGTCTATTGGTAGTCGATTCCATTGGTTTATTGCCTCATTAAGAGTTGTTTCCTTCTTAGTGAGTGAGTTGTGTCCATACATATTATTTGTTGTTATTTGTTTTAATTTCCTCAAATTTAGTGTCTGTCACGGTTAGCAGGTTGCACGAACTGGCTTCCGAGCCACGTGGCGAGGTCACGCACCTGGCTAGCACGCTGAGCGTGCCCTGACAGTCAGAGCCTGAGCGTAGGAAACGTCGGACGCTTTGCCGATATGATCCTGTAGAAGCGCGGTGCGCAAACGAAGGCGTGTTTCGTGAGCTACGAGAGAGAGGACGTCGTGTGTCGTCCAAGCCGTGCGAGAGAGAGGACGTGTGTCGTCCCAGCCGTGCGTGAGAGAGGACGTGTGTCGTCCCAGCCGTGCGTGAGAGAGGACGTGTGTCGTCCCAGCCGTGCGTGAGAGAGGACGTGTATCGTCCCAGCCGTGCGTGAGAGAGGACGTGTGTCGTCCCAGAAGAAGAAGAAGAAGAAGAAGGAGAAGAAGTAGACGAAGCAGAAGAAGAGGAAGAAGAAGAAGAAGAAGAAGAAGAAGAAGAAGAAGAAGAAGAAGAGGAAGAAGGAGAGGAAGAGGAAGGAGACGAGAGGGAGCGCCGTGCACATATATGTTAAGTTGGTTATTATCGTGTGTACTAGCTGTACCCGACTTGTCATTACATATATGTTAAATTGATTGTATCGTGTGTACTAGTTGTACCCGACTTGTCATGGAAGCGTATATTATGTATGTGCACGCGCCATATTGAGTTCGTTTTACATTATTATAATTTTGTAACAGTACGAACGTAGCGGTCGTGCGCAGCCTGACGTTATAATTTTTGACATACATGCTAGCGCCCTGGAAATCAGCCCCCATCATTCCCTTGCGTTTTCTTTTGCGCGAGGCAGCGGCGCGGTTGATCACACAAAAAACGTGACATGCACAATACACAGTTGGTCAATGGCTGAGACCTCGACGTGATCACCCTTAAGACGTACGCATCACGCGCAAAAGACACACGTTTACTATTCCCCCCCCGACGGCAGCAGCAAAGCACGTCGCGAAGTAATGCCGCGCGTAGAGGTAACACCCGTTTTCTGTCCCCGACGGCCGAGCGCGATGGATCGCGTGCGACTGCGGGGAGCAAAAGCGAAAGACTACGATACACCGAGCATAGCATAGTAGAAGTTTGGCTGCCGGAAACTGATTGTCAACGTTCAGATTGTGGAAGCAGCAGGGCGGCATAGCAAACGCTAGCGAACAACGCGTGCAACGAACGCGAGGGAAGCGCGAACGACAGCTTGCAGCCGAACGCGAGAGAGCAGCGAACCGACAGCCATGCATCCTGAACGGGAGGAACGCAGAAGAGCAAAGAAACTGACAGCCATTACTAGAATATGGCAGAAAATTAAAGTGGGAGAAGGGCGAGACTCTGAGGAGCCAGAGCGGACGGCGAGAGTCATCGAGTCATGCGGGCTACTTGGCGAAGAGACCAAGTTCATCCATTGAAGAGGTACTAAAGATGACAATGATGCCTACTTGTTACGGTTCGAGAGTACGCCGATGCAGGGAAGTGGCAAGAGATGTTACGCCTATCTACTGAAGTGCGCTCCTACAGGCAGGCCTGGTACGTGTTATCCGACTTCCACAAGGCGAAGCCAGCGATCGGAACATCCTGAAGGCCGCACTGTTGAAAGCTGATTTTAGGCTAAACAGAAAGAGGGTTTCAAAAACATAGTATTTTCGGAGGGAAGAATTGCAGCAGAGCGCAAACCCTGCGAATTCGACAGCCAGACTAGAGAAAATAATGGAGAGTGAATTACCCTGTCGAACATGAGAACACTTTCGAAAGAAGGCCGCAAATGCTGATGCTAAAAACAGTTACGTCGGTCTCAAAATGGAAACTGACACTTCATCAGAGAGGAAGCACCACCGAAAGATATCGAGGAGCCCACGGTCGCTGAACGAAATACGCGACGCACAGGGTGGTGCGCAACGAAAACAAGTGCGGTGAGAAAGCAAAGTGGGCGGTTAGGGCGGAAGGACCTTTGAGCTGCCCAAGGAGCGGCAACTTCCCGATCGAATGGTTAGGCGACGCGCAATCACGATCGACACGCACTGTTACTTGGCGAAGGGTCACTTTGCCCGCAACTGCAGCGGGAGCACCGCCGTCGTGAGAGATCGCAAGCATGGACTGAATGGACATGGGCCAAAGAGCGGGCAGACCGATGGGGCAACAGCAATCCCGGGTTAGCAAAGCCCACGGCAAGGGGAGCCAAGGGGCAAAAGGAAGCTACCGCAGGAGCCCGCGACGAGAGCCACGTGTGCGGTAGAAAGCTGAACTGTGGCTGCGAGGTAGAGGTGATAGGTAGTGTCACCGGATGTGGGACAGGAAAACCTGAGGACTTGCCAGTGGAGTGGGGGCTCGTGGGGGACAAAAGAGTACAAGTACTGCGGGACACAGGCTGCTCAGGCGTGGTTGTCCGGAGGGGGCTAGTGAGAGAAGAGGAGTTGACGGGCAAGACTCGGAAGTATATGATGATGGACCGCACCATCAGGAAAGCCCCGTTAGCTAGGGTCTATATAAAGACACCATTCCTCACAGGTGAGGTGGAGGCGCTGTGTTTAGACAGGCCGATATATGACGTGGTCATCGGGAACGTGAGATGGTGCCACGTTTCGGTAGGCTGGCGAGCACGAATGGAGCACCTCGCACGACTGCTCACGGGGCCAACAAAGGCACGACGGCAACCCCTGACCGGGCTCTGATGGTCTCCCGTCTGCTGAGTCAGTGGAAAAGAGCGAGTGTACGGCCTGGGAGTTCAAGGCAACTCTCGAATGGTCCACACTGAGAAGACACGAGGGACTGTTGCAAGGTTGAACAGTAAACCTGGCTGGGATGGCGCGGCTGAGGAAGTTAGTTTGATTCACCGGCACAACGAAAGCTGGGTAAAAGAAGGAAGGCGGTGGTGCTTTGCAACATTGCCCACCCGAGCCCGGTGGATCCAGTACAGAGGATAAGCTACACCTCAAAAGCGCCTGCATCAACTACCGCAAGATGAAGGATGCGATCACCAAATGGTGAGATTGAGAAGAAGACAGTGGAGATTGTTTTATACGTGATAAAGCGTTTCTCAGCCACGACAAAAGTTGGGTGATGGGGTTTATAGGCTCTTACGCTGGACATACAAGCTGGATGGGCTGAATGAGTGGCTGTGAAGAGAGCAACAGCGGCAAGCTGAGGAATCTAGCTAACCGAGCTGAGGAAGTTCACGCGCGAGTGTAAGAGCACTGCTGCGTCACCGCAGCAAGCGTGAGTGTACAGGTCGGATACAGGCGATACCGGCGGCAGAAACGTTGGGGCCACTTCTTGAAGCCGACACGTCTGGGCGCGGAAAGAAGCGAAGCGATAGAACAGGAACCTGGCTAAGCCGGTTCCTATGTGTTGGAAGCCGGATCTGTCTGGCGTCGTCCCGCCTTATTAGAGGGGGCGGACGCATTTCCACGTTAGCAGGTTCCCGGTCGACCCATGCATCGAAGTCATCCACACAGCTAGGCTGTTCGGCACCTGGACACTGCTTGGCGCGGCGCACGCAGCCGCGGGCGGGCGTACGTGCGAGCGAGGGCAAAGCGGAAGTTAGATTAGAGTGCCCGCGTTAGCAAAGGCGTGAGCCGAAGCAGGGCAGTACTGAGTAGAGCCACGCAGCAGAGTCGGTGCGTAATGAGCCGAGGACGTGTATGTTCTCCAGCGTGGTCGAGAGGAGGACCGTGTCTCCGTCCCCGCCGAGGTGCGTCGACGAGGAGGCCGCGTTGCTATCGGCGCTCTCTCCTCCCCTCCCCCGCCATTCCCAGCCGTGCGCTGCGAGCAGGAGTGTAGTCCGCTCCCAGCCGTGGCCGCGTGAGAGGCGACCGTGTGTCGTGTTCCCGCGTGCGTTTGAGACGGAGGATCGTGTGTCCGTCCGAGCCTGTAGCGACCCTCCTCGGCGAACAGGACGTGGATGTCGTCTCAGCCGTGCGGGGAGAGAGGACGTGTGTGTCGTCAAAGCAGAAGAAGAAGAAGAGAAGAGCAAGGCAGAAGAGGAAGAAGGTGCGAGCAGAAAAGTAGACGACAGCAGAGAAGCAGGAGAGAGAGTAGATGGAAGAAGAAGCAAGAGGAGGAGAGAGAAGAGCGAAGGAGGCACGAGAGCGGAGCGCCGTGACATATATGGTTAGTTGAATTGTTACGTGTGTAATAATAGTACCCGACTTAGCATTACTATATGTTAAGGTTGTGCTTATCGTGCGTAAGAGCTTGTCCGACTTGTCATTGGACGGTATATATGTAGTGTTGCGCCGCGAGTACTTGGAGTTCGTTTTTCATTATATAATTTTTGTAACAGTACGCGTAGCGGTTGTTGAGGCGCGCCTGAGCGTTATAATTTCACGGTTGGCATACATCGCTAGCGGCCTTGAATCCACCCCTGCGATCGTTTCCTGGTTTCGTTATTGCGCGTCCAGGCGGCGCGGGCCGTAATCACTCAAAAACGTTTGGCATGCCACACTACACGTTTGACACTGTGACCCAGACGTGATACACGCAGAAGACGTTGTACAGCTACACGCGCAAAGGCCAGTTACTATCTCACTCCCGCGGCGAGCCGCAAAGCTCGTCGCGAGATAAACGCGCGTGGAGGTAACCCGCGTTTTTTGTCCCCGACCGCCGGGCGCGATGGATCTGGCTGGCGCTGCGAGAGGAGGGTGAAAGTTTGGGCTGGCCGGAACTGAGTTGCAAAGGGGTTCGTTGCTTGCTGGAGCCGCAGGGTGCGGGCAAAGAGAGCGCCTGCCAACACAGCGTGCAGTCCGCGCGCAGGAGCGGCGAACGAGCTTTCGCAGCAACGCGAGGAATACCAGGAGCGTGAACGACGCGTACCGCGAACACGGAGAGGCAAAAGGAACATCGACAGCCACTTGATAGAGATGGCGAGAAATTAAAGTGGAGAAGGGCGACCTGGAGCCGGCGGACGGCGATGGTCGATCCTGCAAGTCGCTGCGGGGCTACTTCGCGAAGATCGCGCAGGACCAAAGTTACCTCCTTTGACGAGCGCTTAAAGATGACATGGATGCCTAAACCTTGTTACGGTTCGAGAGGGTACGCTGCGCAGGCCAGGGTGGCAGATGAAGGTTACGGCCACCTACCATGAGTGCGCGTCCTACAAGGCGAGGGGCTGGACGTGTACTTCCTCGCCCTGCCACAGGCGGAAGCCAGCGCTACTGGGCATCTTGAAGCTCCACTTTTGAACGATTTAGCGGCTCAACAGAGAGGACGGGTTCATACCAACACAGTTTTTTCGGAGAGAAGATTGAACAGAGCGAGAACCCTGCCGAGTTCGTCAGCAGACTAGAGAACTTACTAATGAGGTGGATTACCCGTGTCGCTGAACATGAGACACTTTCAAGAGCACGGCCTCAAGATGCCGCCCCCCCGCATGATTGCTAACAGGAGCAGGTTCACGTCAGGGTTGCTCAAAGGAACCGTGGCAGCCTCTCGAGAGAAGGCACCAGCGACGTATGGAGGAACGGCTACGGTCGCGCGCCCTGCAGCGGCATACGCGAACCGGCACAGGCGCTGGGCTGCGTCTAGGAAGACAGTGAGTCGGGTCGAGCAGCGCACAGGTGTACGGCAGTTGTGCGGAAGGACTTGGTGCCCAGGAAGGGCGCCGGTAAACGTTCCCATCCGTAGAGTGGATGTTGGGCACAGGCCGCAACTCGAGGGGGCACGCAGAGCGCCATTGTACAATGTGCGGCAAGGCGTGGGTGGTCATCTTCTGCCCGCCCAACTGCGAGCGGGAGCAGGCCGCCCCGTCGATGAAGCTCGGCCAACCCATGGTGACACATGGGCAAATAGCGGACCGACCGAGGGGCAAAACAGCAATCCCGGGTTGGCACAAGCCACGGCACGGGGCAGCCAAGGGGTGCAAAACGGAGCTACCGCAGGAGCCGCGGACCGACCACTCAGTGTCGCGGTAGAAAGGCTGTAACTGTCGGCTGCGACGAGGTTAGAGAGTCGCATAGGTAGTGTCACCGGAATGTGGGCAGCAAAACCTCGGAGACATTAGCCAGTCCGGAGTGGGTCGTGCGGGGGACAAAAAGCTACTAAAGCGAGGACCTCCGTAACTGCGGCACAGGCCTGTCAGGCCGGTGGATTGTCCGGAGGGGGCGTGCAGAGAAGAGGGGAGTTGACGGGCAAGGACTCGCGAAGCTTATGATGCATGGTACACCGGCAACCATCAGGTCTCAAAAGCCCGCGTTGAGTAGGGTCTATCTATAAAACACATTCTCCCCCCGTTCTCTCTCGCTCCGCCCGGGCGCCTCAACCAGGTGAGGGTGGAGGCCGCTGCTGTTTAGACAGGCCGATATATGACGTGAGTCATCTCGGAACGTGTGGATGGGTGTGCCACGTTGGTAGCTGGGGACCGAGATGGTGGAGAGACGCCTCGCCGAGTGCTCACGAGGGGGCCAACAAAAGCGCACGCGGCAAGCCCTGAGCCCGGGCTGTAAAAGGTCTCGCGCCCGCCTGTCCTGCCGGCGTGTTCCGGTCGGGGCGGCGCTACTGTCGGGCGCCATGGGCCGGGGCGGCTCGTTACCCGCTGTCGCCGCGCGGGGGGGCGCTCGGGGGTGCCGTGTGCGTCGGGGCGCCGCTGGGGGGGTGCCGTCGGGCGCGGGGCACGCCGTGGTCGGAGCCCGCCCCGCGCCGGCTGCTGTCGCCGGTCCCGTGCAGCTCAGGCCGGACCGATTGGCTCCCGGGCCTCTCCGGGCAGTGAGCGCGCGCATCTACGGCTCGTCACCGTGAGCGGCGGTAGGCCAAGGTCCGCGGGAGTTCGGGGCGGGACGAGGGCGGACGGGGGTAGGGGCCGCGAGTGCGCGGCCGGGGTGTCTCTGCTCGAGGGCCCGACTCGCGCACCGGGGTCCGTATCGGGGGCCCCTGGGGAGTGAGTGGTAGCGAGCCTTGTAAACGGCTGAGGGAGTTCCAGCACTCCAGTCCAATGAGAGACGAGGGGACTGTTGGCAGAGGATTGAAACCCAGTAACCTGCTGGATGGGGGGGCGTGGAGGAAGTTAGTTTGGATTCACCGGCACAAGAGCTGCGTAAAGAAGAGCCGGCTCGGTGCTTGCACATTGGCACCGAGCGGTGGATCCAGCTCTACAGCAGAAAGCTACCACCTCGAAGCGCCCTGCCAGTCAAAACTAACGCAAGATGAAGTAGTTATCGGCATCCAAAGGATGAGACTCGAAAGAAGACATGTGAAGATCTGTTTACTCAGCTGATAAGGCTTTCTCCAGCACAAAAGTTGAGTGATGGTGATGGCTCTCTTACGTGACATACAGATGGCATGAGGCTGCATGAGTGTTGCGAAGAGAAACAGGGCTCGCGGCCAGCTGGGCGAATCTAGACAACCCAGCTGGGAAGCTCTCACCACGACGTGCTTAGAGGCCACTGCTGCGTCACGCAAAGCTGAGGTCACAGGTTCCGGATCATAGGCGACTTC